TAAAGAGAGGTGAATTAAAGTAAACATTTGTGTCAGTGTAAGTTAAAGTGAGGTAAATTAAAAATAAGAGTTTATTGACAGTCATAGTTAAAGTAAAGTGAATTGAAAATAAAAGTTGTGTGACTGTGTTAATGTTGAAGTGAAGTGAAATAAAAATTTTGTGTTAGTGTATGTTGAAGTGAAGTGTCTTTTTTGTAAAAGTTTTGTGACAGTTAAATATGAGTGAAGTGAATTTCAAATAAAAGTTTTGTGTCAGTAAAATGAAAATAAAGTGAACTGACAATAAAAGTTTAATGACAGTGAAAGTGAAGTGAATTAAAAATAAAAGTTTTGTGTCAGTAAAAAAAAAGTGAAGTGTAATGGAAATGAAAGTTTTGTGTTAGAGTATGTTGAAGTGAAGTTTATATTATATAAAAGTTTTGTGACAGTGAAATAAAAGTAAAGTGAATTAAAAACATGTTTTGTGTCAGTGAAATGAAAGTGAAGTGTAGCGGAAATGAAAGTTTTTTGTTAGCGTATGTTCAAGTGAAGTGTATTTCAAATAAAAGTTTTGTGACAGTAAATCGGTGTGAAGAAAATTAAAAATAAAAGTATAGTGACAGTGGAAGTGAAAGTTAAGTGAATTAAAAATAAAAGTTTTGTGTCAGTAAAATAAAAGTGAAGTGTAATTGAATTGAAAGCTTTGTGACAGTTACATAGGAGTGAAGAGAATTAAAAATAAAAGTTTTGTGTCACTAAATCAAAGTGAAGTGTATTTTAAATAAAGGTTTTGTGACAGTTAAATAGAAGTAAAGTAAATTAAAAATAAAAATATAGTGACAGTGGAGGTGAAAGTGAAGTGAATTAAAAATAAAAGTTTTGTGACAGTGAAATTAAAGCGAAGTGTATTTTAAATAAAGGTTTTGTGACAGTTAAATAGAAGTGAAGTGAATTAAAAATAAAAGTATTGTGACAGTGAAATTAGAGTGAAGTGAATTAAAAATACAAGTTTTGTGACAGTGAAATAAAAATGAAGTAAATATAAATAAGTTTTGTGTCAGTGTTAGTTGATGTGAAGTTTCCTAAAACTAAAAGTTTTGTGTCAGTGAAATGAAGTAAAGTGAATTGATAATAAATGTTTAATTACAGTGGAAGTTAAAGTAAAGTGAATTAAATACAAAAGTTTTGTGTCAGTGTTAGTTGATGTGAAGTTTCTTGAAAATAAAAGTTTTGTGTCTGCGAAATGATGTAAAGTGAATTGATAAGAAAAGATTAGTGTCTGTGGAAGTGCAAGTGAAGTGAATGAAATATCAGGGTTTAGGTCAGTGAAATGAAAGTGAAGTGTAATGCAAATGAATGTTTTGTGTTAGCGTATGTTGAAGTGAAATGTATTTCAAATAAAAATTTTGTGACAGTTAAATAGGAGTGAAGTGAATTAAAAATAACAGTTTTGTTTCAGTAAAATGAAAATAAAGTGAATTGACAATAAAAGTTTAGTGACAGTGAAAGTGAAGTGAATTAAAAATAAATGTTTTGTGTCACTAAATGTAAGTGAAGTGTATTATAAATAAAAGATTTGTGACATTTAAATCGAAGTGAAGTGCATTAAAAATAAAAGTATAGTGACAGTGGAAGTGAAAGTGAAGTGAATTGAAAATAATAGTTTAGTGACAGTTAAATAGGAGTGAAGTGATTTAAAAATAAATGTTTTGTGTCAGTAAAATAAAAGTGAAGTAAACTGAAAACAAAAGTTTAGTGACAGTGAAAGTGAAATTGAAGTGAATTAAAAATAAATGTTTTCTGTCAGTAAAAAAAAAGTGAAATGTAATGGAAATGAAAGTTTTGTGTTAGAGTATGTTGAAGTGAAGTGTATTTCAAATAAAAGTTTTGTGACATTTAAATCGGAGTGAAGTGCATTAAAAATAAAAGTATAGTGATAGTGGAAGTGAAAGTGAAGTGAATCAAAAATAATAGTTTTGTGTCAGTTAAATAGGAGTGCAGTGAATTAAAAAAAAGAGTTTTGTGTCAGTGAATTGAAAGTGCAGTGTAATGGAAATGAAAGTTTTCTGTTAGCGTATGTTAAAGTGAAGTGTATTTTAAATAAAAGTTTTGTGACAGTTAAATAGGAGTGAAGTAAATTAAAAATAAAAGTTTTGTGTCAGTGAATTAAAAATGAAGTTTAATGGAAATGAAAATTTTTTGTTAGCGTATATTAAATTAAAGTGTATTTAAAAAAAAGATTTTGTGACAGTCAAATAAGAGTGAAGTGAATTAAAAATAAAAGTTTTGTGACATTTAAATCCGAGTGAAGTGAATTAAAAATAAAAGTTTAGTGACAGTGGAAGTTTAATTTAAGTGAATTTAAAATAAAGGTTTTGTGTCAGTAAAATAAGAGTGAAGGGTAATGAAAATGAAAGTTTTGTGTTAACGTATGTTGAAGTGAAGTGTATTTCAAATAAAAATTTTATGACAGTTACATAGGAGTGAAGTGAATTAAAAAAAAGTATTGTGACTGTGAAAAATAAGTAAAGTGAATTGATAAGAAAAATTTAGTGACTGTAGAATTTATAGTGAAGTGAATTAAGTATAAAAGTTTTGTGTCAGTGAAATGAATGTTAAGTTAATTGATTATAAACGTTTAGTTATAATGGAAGTTAAAGTAAATTCGCTAAATCGCTAATGAAATCGTCGCGAGTCATCCGGAAGTGACTTTCTCGTTTTCAGGTTCGGGTCGTGAAATACTTGAATACCGCAATGCGAATCGTGTTGAGTCGTCCACATATGTCATCTTTCTTTTTTGTCTAATCCTTCTGGTCATGCTTATTGTATTTAGGACCTTTAGGTTTTTAATCCTACTGGTCATGCTTGCTTATTGTATTTAGGACCTTTAGGTGTTTAATCCTGCTGGTCATGCTTATTGTATTTAGGATTTTTAGATGTTTAATCCTACTGGTCATGCTTGCTTATTTTATTTAGGACCTTTAGGTGTTTAATCCTGCTGGTCATGCTTATTGTATTTAGGATCTTTAGGTGTTTAATCCTACTGGTCATGCTTGATTATTGTATTTAGGACCTTTAGGTGTTTAATCCTGCTGGTCATGCTTATTGTATTTAGGATCTTTAGGTGTTTAATCCTACTGGTCATGCTTGATTATTGTATTTAGGACCTTTAGGTGTTTAATCCTGCTGGTCATGCTTATTGTATTTAGGATCTTTAGGTGTTTAATCCTACTGGTCATGCTTGATTATTGTATTTAGGACCTTTAGGTGTTTCATCCTACTGGTCATGCTTATTGTATGTAGGATCTTTAGGTGTTTAATCCTACTGGTCATGCTTGTTTATTGTATTTAGGACCTTTAGGTGTTTAATCCTGCTGGTCATGCTTGCTTATTGTATTTAGGACCTTTAGGTGTTTAATCCTGCTGATCATGCTTGCTTATTTTATTTAGGATCTTTAGGTGTTTAATCCTACTGGTCATGCTTGCTTATTGTATTTAGGATCTTTAGGTGTTTAATCCTACTGGTCATGCTTGCTTATTGTGTTTAGGACCTTTAGGTGTTTAATCCTGCTGGTCATGCTTATTGTATTTAGGACCTTTAGGTGTTTAATCCTACTGGTCATGCTTGCTTATTTTATTTAGGACCTTTAGGTGTTTAATCCTGCTGGTCATGCTTATTGTATTTAGGATTTTTAGATGTTTAATCCTACTGGTCATGCTTGCTTATTGTATTTAGGACCTTTAGGTGTTTAATCCTACTGGTCATGTGCTTGGTTAAGTAGACAATGAATGTGCGAGATGCAAGATTGGTTACCTCCTTGTGGTGCATCTTGGAAACAAGATCATTGAATTTTTTGTAATGTATAAATTAATAATCTGCTTTATTAAGGTAGTATACATAACAAAATTTTCAGTGAATTTGGCTGAATACCAATCATATATTGTTATAAATAATCGCAACATCGCGAGTCATCCGGAAATGATTGTCTTTGTTTTCAAGTTTGGGCCGTGAAATTACTCTATTTCTGCAAAGAAAGATGGCAATAAGAAGTCCCAAAATCGCTAATCGAATTATCGCGAGTCAACCGGATAATTATTTAGTGTATGTTAACGTATGTTAAAGTGAAGTGTATTTTAAAATAAAAGTTTAATATCAGTGAAAGTTAAAGTGAAGTGAATTTATAGTAATAGTTTAGTGTCAGTGTTAGTTGATTTTGTTTTTAATAATTTGAAATTTTTTTCGTCAAGTAATAAGTACCACACTTAGAAACAAAAAGTAGAATAAAAAATGTCATAAAATGTTCTTAATAGTTAAAAGTAGACGCACATTATTTATTTACAAATAATGAGAATTGTGTTTGAATTAAAAAAAGATATAAATATGCACTAAAAACACAATTTAAATTAAGAAAGTGTAATTTTCTTGAATGCATCACAAGAACATTAATACTTTTTAATTTAATTGACTGAATTAAAATGATAAATTAAAATTAATTAAATCGAATTAATGTTAATTAATTGTTTTGTTAATATTATATTTATTGAATAATTGATACATAAATTGGAAGAAAAATTACACAGTAAAAAGAAAATCTTATTTTAAGGCACGAAAGCTGCCTTAAATTAAGATGCAACATTTTTAAGACAGTCAATGTTGAATTTACGCACGTTTTTCGTATCCTTTAACATTATAGCAGACAGTGTTGAATTTAAGGCAGCTCTTAAATTAAGATTTACTTTTTACTGTGTACTTAAAAAATGAATTTTTTCAGCCTATTGTTGAAAGTCTCAAGGAGTCTACTAACTGAGGAAAGAAGATACAATAAAGATGCTTCAGCATACTCAATAAAAAAGAAATTGGAGGGATCTTCGACAAGTCAATCAACCAAAAAAAAAGATAAGTGTTTTTTTTCCAAAATCTTTTTTAACTATTAAAAATAAATTCAATTCAATAATATTGTAATTTCCTTCCTTTTTGAATTACAATTATAAAAGCAAATTGTAGAAAAAATATTAATTCCAAACGACTATTACACGGAAAAGTTCTTGGGCGAGTCGCTGTACCTGTTGTGGTGGCGCTGAGTGACCAGTACCTATGGTAAAGTGACAGCCCCATTTTGGTAGCTCATTTCACCCACAGAGACTGCTGCTTTCCTACTGTGGGGCGTCAGAGCTCTCTTGTGGGGCATCAGAGCTCTCTTTAGAGAGAAAGCAGAAAACCTTTTCTGTGGGAGGCGAGTGAGAGACGTCTGCTCGCCCAAAAACTTTTCCGTGTACTCTTTTTCAGAATCATAATTTACTGTGAGTTAATGACGACGACGACGCCGAGGGGGAGGAGAAGGAGCACAACAAATGGATGAATCGTTACACTTTTACAGAAGGTTTGTTATTATAAAATGTTATACACTTTTTTTATATAAAAATTTACTTCAATAAATAAAAATATTACTATTCTGTTTTCAGAATCAACATCTACTCCAACTTGATGACCGGCAAAACAACTTTATCTTCTCTTCACGTATCAATACATAAAGACACTATATATATAATTATAATAATAAGGAAACTTTTATTATATTATATTTTGAACGCTTGTCTAATTGATACGAATAAGTGACTTACGATATTTCTGTACACTACAATTGTTTTGTAATGCTTTACACTAGACATCATTCAATAGGCGCTGCTCACGTGGTGCCCTTATCTTACGATTTGGCCAGGGTAGGCTCTTCTGACGTGAAGTCCTATGTTGGCGTAATGTTGTCTCTTGTAATTGATCTACAAGATTATTTGTATCCTGAGATACGTATTTTCATTTTTTAAATAACGGGCTCTTGACTTGTTCTTTTGTCCTGCACGCATTAGGCTATATGCCTTTTGTAGAATTCTCTCTACTGGGGAGGTTCGTCGTTAAGCCATTTTTTTGGCACAGGTATATATAGTGTATGTAGCAGTTTATACGCGGGGGTTTAAAAAAAACAAGAAGCTTTGAAGTAGGTCAGAACCGAATCGGATGAAAACGCTAAAAGCGTTTTGAAAATCGAGGTATAAAACTTGCTGATTTCGGTTACAGCTCTTGGCGAAAATCTCGGTACTTTTTATTCTCTCTCCCTCTCTTTTTTCTCTCTTTCTCTCTCCTCACTCCTCGATCCTGCTAAACTTGCAGCGGTCTTGGCCTGATTGCGAGAAGCGAGAAACTCGCGCAGGCCTCTCCAGTTTTCAACTCAATAAGCACTTGATTAAAATGTGCTCGAAACCCGGTACAACCCCAAGTATAATTTGAAAATGAGACGTTTTGAGAAAGTTTAAATGTGATATCGCTATTACTTTGTTGTTTCTTGCTCGACTATAAAGACCAAAAGGCAATATTGCTATTTTCAGTGGTTTCCCACTAATGAATATTTCCTTTAGCTTTTAGCGTGTTTAAAAAGTGTTGAGAGAATTTCACCCCTCTCCGGAAAACTTTTGCTTTTTCAATAATAATAAATTTTCAAGACGAGGAGAATATTTCATTAGGATTTCAATTTATTTTTCCTTTATTATTGGGAAAATATTCTCAAGATTTTATGTTTTTTTTTATTGTTTTATTTTTATTTAAAAAAGTAAATGAGATTTTATTCTTATCAATTTTATCCTTCAAAAACATTTTGATAATTAAAAAAATGTTATTGTGAGTTTAGTTAATTTTTTCAATTATCATTTTTAGTAAATAATTTTCAGAGTATTACATATATATCTTTGATTTATATAATTTTATATGCTAATAAATTATTTATTGAATTATGCAAAATCATTTAAAGTGACATTCACAGGTGTTAAAATTAAAAGTACATATATATTTGCAATAAAGTTTTGTTTTAAATCTGAGAAAATATTTGAGAATTATAATTTCTGATATTGAGATAATTTGATTTTTAAATAAAATGTAAATTAAAAATTATTGATATTTCATTTTTAATTATTTAAATAAAAATCCAAAAATATATGGAATTATAAAATCATAATATACAATGAAATGGAAATTTACAGTGACAAAATTCAATAATTTATTAAGAGTTTTGAAATTATTAGATATTGAATTTTATAGAATTTGGTATAATTTTGGAGTAAAATGAAAAAGATTGTAAATTATTGTATAAAATTGTAAAATGTAAACTGTAGGAAATGTAAAATATTTTTGCAGCTGATTTATAAATTTGAAAAATTGTTTTCAAAATTTCGAATTTTGTTTTTTTTTATTTTATAACTTTTTTTTCGGTAATTTGAATATTAGAAACACATTTGATGTTCGATACGATGGCTTAACGATCCGATACCTAACATTCATAACGCTAATTAGCTGTCGATATCAGTCAAAGTACCAGCAGACTCGCGTGAATGCCAATCTGTCATCGCTGCACGCATATGAACGTATAGAACTAAACATTGAATGAGTTTTCAACTTTGTACTATATATTGATTAATTTCTTTTTTAGGTATACTGCAATTTGTTTTAATGTTTAACTATTACGAACATTTTATGACACTTTTTATTCTACTTTTTGTTTCTAAATTTAGTTCGAGACCAGTCTCGAAGTGTGGTACTTATTACTTGACGAAAAAAATTTCAAATTATTAAAAACAAAATATTAATATTTTTTCTTTTTTTCAGGAATAGTCAAATAAACTGTGAAAATCTCCGCTTGGGCAAATAAGAAGGACCATAATAAAGTAATGCATTGTGCATGTCGACTATTTTATATCTTTTGCTGCTGTAGCATGCCAAGCATTCATCATACAATGTGAACAAACAAGGTCTGTATTCGTTTTACTTAAAAAGTTATTCCTTTTTACTGAAAAAGTTCTGAAACATAACTTGTCACTTAGTTGAAGGGAAAAAAGTTATTTCCTACACATATATTTATATATCTATATCTATCTATATAATATTTATCATTAGAGTACACATTCTCAATTTAATATTTATGTTGCCAATTTTTCATATATATTTTTAAAAAATTGTTCGTAATAATTTTAGAATTTTGAAGACATTTTTAATGAGATGAATTTTTAGAAATAATTTCAAGAAATATTAAAGTAATTAATAATTTTCGATTCATTTCTCTTTTCATATACTGTGGCTAAAATTAGAAATAGTCGCGGGTGTATAAAATAAATGAAATGTGATGACAATGATTTAGACGGAGAGATTATTGAAATTCGATAGGAATATGGAATATTCTTATCGGATAACTAAAACGTTATATATAGTGAACCGCACGTATAGGATTAATGAATTAATTAAAACAGCTAAACCACTATACAATATTTTACCCAGTTTAAACTATTTTAAAAAGCCACATTTTTTAGTTTGCGCAATTGAAGAGAGAGAGAGAGAGAGAGGAAGTTAAAAATTTAACCCACATTAAATATATTCTCCAAGTGATAACTATAGTGAATGATTCTTTTTTTTTTTGTAGAAAAGAATTTTTAAAATTTTTTAATTCTTTAATATCCATTAATCGTTAATTGTGAGTATATAAATGAGAATTTTCGCATATATCATATTCCATAGATTCAGCACATTTATTAATAAATGAAATTTTGCTAATTCAGTTCTCGTTTATAAACGAGTAATGGAAATTAATGTACAATATATGCCGAAAATGATGTCAATAATTAACTGAGGTTGAACCACATTTAATTAATGCGAGCAATTGAACTAAATAACTGATAATAATATATTGTATTGCTATTTATTTAAAAACAAAAGAAATTTCAAATCATACATAACATTATAGGAAAATGGTCGTCACTAACCACAGTATTTGTGAAATGTAATCGAAATTTAATAAAAAGAATAATTGTGTTTCTAGTTAATTATTGTGGCTAACTTCTGACTGCCTTTTTTAAAAATAAAATTAGCAATTTTAAAAATAACAGAATTTAAAAATTTTCTAATTTAAGTTTTTGTTGAAAATAATAAAAAAATTCTATTTTGGAGAAATTACAAATAATTGCAGTAATTCAATTATTTTCAAAAAAAAAAAAAAATTCAACTATGGGACCATTCAAGTATTACGTAAGCATTTAAGGGGGAGGGGGGTCTACCTATTGCTTATTTCCATTAGAAAAAATGGCGCTAATGCATATAAAAAATCTTACATGGGGGAGGGGGGGGGTCTAAAAACCTGATAAATATGCTTGAATGGCCCATATGTTCAAAATTTAAAAAAAATTCTGGTAAAAATCCCAATTATCTTTATAAATAACAAAATTCTTCTCCAAAGTTAAATTATTTTCATAATGTGTCAAAAAAAATTCTTGTCCTAATTTCAATTATTTTCAAAAATTTTTCTAATTTCAATGATTTTCAATATCTAAGATTTTAATAAAATTTCCCAAAACGAATTCAATTATTTTAAAAAAATTGTTTGTTAGAACTAAAATGGAAATTATTTTAAAAAAATTGTTTGTTAGTACTAAAATGGAAATTATTTTTAAGAAATTGCTTGTTAGAACTAAAATGGAATTTTTTTTAGTTCTAATATAAGTGGAGTGACAATTTTTTTAATACATCAACTCGCTGTGTAAATAATTGACTTTTTTATTTTTCAGTCTTGAATGTAAGTTTGGAGAGGATCAGAGCAAGACGACTATCTTTATGAAGGAAGTGATTTAAGGAAGCATGCAAGGAAGCAATTTCGGTCAGTTCATTTTTTGAAATGTTTATATTTTTCCTATAATTTGAAAACATGAGTTGAGAATAATATTCGAAAACTAGTGAAATGAAAATATTTTTTTTACATCTAATGCGAGTGGAGTGACAAATTTTTTTCTGGTACGTCAACTCGATGGTGAATTCCACGATAGTGACAATTGTTTTCTTTTTTCGGTGTATAAACGCAAAAGCTCAAGTACAATAAAATTCCGACTCAATTAACAGGACGTCAGATGCCATTAATAATCTCACGAGTTCCGTTTCTTTTTCGAAGTTCAACAGTCAAGCTCGAGAAGGAAAAGAGGGAGAGTTGAGAAAACAAAAAAATGAGAGAGCAAGAGAGAGAGAGAGAGAGAGGAAAGTTGGCAGAGGGAAAAGCGAAAAAAGAGGTTGCAATGTAAGCAAATAGTCGTCTTATACCCCTCTTTCTCTCCGTCTTTACATCCAAGCGCTACCTTCTTTTTCTCCCATCATCTACTACCCTTTTGCTGCAATTCTCTCTCTTCCTCTCTCGTCTCGACTTCAACATTCACCATTGCAAAAACGACGTCACGATTCAACGCTCCCAATGACTTTTCTTTTAACCTAAAATATACACTCCATAATGTAATAATTTACCAATTCGAATACAGTAGGATCTTTCAATAGTGCAGTTCTGAACAGTGCAGTCATTAGTGAGTTGAGTAGACAAGGGGTTTCGGGGGTAAAGGGAAAGGGAATCTGTGACGTCAAATACAGTGCCGTCGCTCATTTGATTATTTAGTATCATTTAGTGGTGCCCGGTATTTAGTAGTGGGGGACCCTTAATTTTTTTGACACGGACCTGAATGTTTTAGTTTTTGCACGCTTCGAACAGTGCACAATATTCCCGACGACTGCACTATTGAAAGATCCTACTGTATATACGGTTATTGGGGAATTTCAAACGAATATTTTCAACATTTGACTCTTAAAATAAGGTGGACGTATATGTATATTTGTTTGCCAACACTGTTTGATCTTGTGTACAAGAAATATTGACACATCTTTGTCGAGAGGGGAGATTTCGGAATATTGAATGGAGTGCGCCACCTTGAAGAGTAAATATTTATGTCTGATTAGGAAAATTCTTCTAAAAAGAATTTACAAATCCTTCTCGTTTCATTTAGGTTTTTTTTACGTTAAGTATTATTCTTTTTTGTATTAAAAAGAATTTATTCTATGATTGACTCATTCTTGACTAGTATTTTATATTTAATAATAATTAAAAAGAACGTAATTCGCATCTCTGGCGGGATTAAAAATTCTTTTTCTATTTTGGTTCTATGTATACGTTAATCAGTAAACGTAACAAGAATTGAGGATTCAATTTATAACGACGAAATGGAAAAGTAGATTATGTGGGATGAATGTAACAACTTTCATTTTATCCACCCTGGATACGAAGTTGTGCGAAGGAAGACATGAAACGGAAATTTGTTTTATGTGATGTGAAAAATAAATTTTATGCTTAAAATTCTTATTTACATTTCGATGAGAAGCACAGACACCCACGCTTTATTCTTTTATTTAGTGAGGATGATAAATTTTTGGTGAAAGCGGAAAACAAAATTATTTTAAAAATTGAATTTTAAGATTTAGTTTATACGCAATTTAGGGATTTAGGAATTAAATATGGAATTAGTTCTATAAAAATAATATAATTTCTTTAATTGATTGATAAAAAACGGTGATTCTACTTTAATAAAATTGAAAATAAATATTGTTTTTTTAAATAACTAATGTACGACCTATTTGCAACCAATATGGACATTTTTTGATACTATTTTTTATTTCTAAATTTAGTCCGAGACCTGCAGTACTTGAAACTATTAACTTCTGAATTTGTTCTTCTACTCTTATGTTTTTTAATTTGTTTACTTACACATACCTGACTTACCTAAAGGTTAAAGTAAAATTCAACTCTGTCCTTGCATACACTCTAGAAGGAATGTTTACTTTGTTAGAAATACTTTCCTAAACCTCAACAAACATAAAGAAGCAGTTCAAATTTGATAACAGAAGAAGTAAAATTTCATTTAAACTAGAATTAGATTTGTTTTCATGATTCAAAGGTTATTTATCTCTTGTTAAATGGATTAAAGTATTTAATTAATTTAATACTTTTTAATTTAATTGACTGAATTAAAATGATAAATTAAAATTTATTAAATCGAATTAATGATAATTAATTGTTTAGTTAATATTATATTTATCGAATAATTGATACATAATTTGAAAGAAAAATTACTTAAAAAATGAATTTTTTCAGCCTATTGTTGAAAGTCTTAAGGAGTCTACTAACTGAGGAAAGAAGATACAATAAAGAGGCTTCAGCATACTCCAGGTTTCCGCAGAATAAAAAAGAAATTGGAGGGATCTTCGACAACTAAAGGATACTGTAGATGAAAGTATTCTACAGCAGAGGCTTGGAGGAAATTTCAAAAATTGAATGACAAAGTGTCAACTTTAAAAAAAAATTGGTAAAAAATAACAAAATTTTTGACATTGAAAAATAATTGAATTAAATATTGAAATATTAATTTAAAAACTTTTTTTTTAAAGGTTGTCAGTCAAAATGGAAAAGCAGGAAGTCAATCAACCAAAAAAAAAAAGATAAGTGTTTTTTTTCAAAATCATTTTTAACTATTAAAAATCAATTCAATTCAATATTATTGTAATTTCCTTCCTTTTTGAATTACAATTATAAAAGTAAATTGTAGAAAAAATTTAATTCCAAACGACTATTACTCTTTTTCAGAATCATAATTTACTGTGAGTTAATGACGACGACGAGGAGGAGGAGGAGCACAACAAATGGATGAATCGTTACACTTTTACAGAAGGTTTGTTATTATAAAATGTTATACACTTTTTTATATAAAAATTTACTTCATTAAATAAAAATATTACTATTCTGTTTTCAGAATCAACATCTACTCCAATTTGATGACCGGCAAAACAACTTTATCTTCTCTTCACGTATCAATACATAAAGACACTATATTGCTAAATATAGTATATATAATTATAATAATAAGTAAACTTTTATTATATTATATTTTGAACGCTTGTCTAATTGATACGAATAAGTGACTTACGATATTTCTGTACACTACAATTATTTTGTAATGCTTTACACTAGACATCATTCAATTGGCGCTGCTCACGTGGTGCCCTTATCTTATGATTTGGCCAGGGTAGGCTCTTCTGATGTGAAGTCCTATGTTGGCGTAATGTTGTCTCTTGTAATTGATCTACAAAATTATTTGTATCCTGAGATACGTATTTTCATTTTTTAAATAACGGGCCACGGACTTGTTCTGTGGTCCTGCACGCATTGGGCTATATGCCTTTTGTAGAATTCTCTCTACTGAGGAGATTCAACATTAGGCTTATGCCTTTTGTAGAATTCTCTCTATAGGGAAGTTCCTCATTAGGCTATATATCTCCTTTGTAGAATTCTCTCTACTGGGGAGGTTCGTCGTTAAGCCATTTTTTTGGCCATTTGCAGACCTTTAATTTATTCATTAGTTTATACATCAAAAACACACCTGAGTATCACTCGGACATTTGAAACGTCAATTTTTTTTACAGTTTTCTTATTATAACTGTATTCCTTCCATACGTAGGGTAAAATTGATCGTTTATAAATTTAGAATAATTATTTTACAACAATCATTTATGCACTAATTCTATTATTGCAAATAATGTAATTCAGAATATAATATTAATCCCAGAACTTTATTGCGATAATTACTAATTTTTTTATAGTGCCCGTTTATGGTTATATTATTAATAATTATTCACAATACATAATTATAATAATTATTCATCGCTAAATTGGACAATATTTTACAATTAAAAAGTATTTTGGTATACATTTAGTTTAATCGAATGAAAATAGAATTAATTTTTTGGAATTTAGGCAATTTTTTATAGAATTGATTTGTCAAATTTTTGGAAATTAATTACATAAGTAATGATTCTGGTAGTGACATTCAATATCACGATAACAATCGTGCGCGGTATCCATTGCTCCATATATACCCTAAACGGGTTGATATCGTCGTCCACCTCTTCGTGACAAAAACAAGACGAATGGACCGGCCATCTAGAGCAGCTGAAGTTTAATCGAAATGTCCTTTTGACAAAAAGATTCAGAGATTGGTTATAAGTCACGGATAATTTTCCAACTCTCATTGTGCATTCAAGAGACGAACTTAATTTCAGATTAAAATATCAAATTTAAATTTAAATAACTCTGACCCGTTTTTTTATATATAATATATAAAATCTTTTTTTCTTTTTTATGCAATTATATATGCCCCCACTCTGTTGGTGTATGTTAATAATATATTTGTAATGATTTTATTCCCCTTTTAATTAGAATTTCAATTAATATTTAGTACCTTTTTTCTATTTTTGATGATTAATTTAATGTGATTGAAATTTTGATGTTAAATTTTTTTTCTTTTCATATTTTTATTTGAAATGAGAATAAATTATACTTTGAGAATTATAATTCTCGTATAATTTGATTTTTCGTTTTCGATGAATTTATTTTTAGTATTTCTGTGATTAAAATCAAAGTTTAAAATCAAAGAAATATGAGAGAGAAGTTATGTTGGATTTTCTTTTTGAAGAATTCATAAAAAATGAGAGGGGTGGATAGATTTGAAATTTTCATAGTGTATGAGAAAATTTAGCAGGTATCCAAGCACATGAAGCCGCTTACTTGGTGTCTGACTGAAATATTAATTTTCTACTTTCCTTCCCTTACACCTTTTTGGTTCTTGATGCTTGCATTTTCTTTTCTCTCGACCTCAATAATGTGAAGCTCGCTTCTTGACTTCTTTAAGATGTTGTCACTCAAAGAATTGAATACCTTTTTTATCGCACTTTTGGATTTTTTTTCTCTTAGGATGCTTTTTTGAAAACAAAAAAATACATGTCTTTTTAAAGATAACGTGCTCTTTTTAAAATATGATTTTTTAAGAAAACGTGATTTTTTAGTATTTTTTATAAAAGGATTTCATTGGTTAAAAAAATTGTTTTAATAGAAACAGTTGGTTTTGTTCTGACAAAGCTAATTATTTGTAATAGAAATGTAGATGGAACATTCCTAAGGAAAAATTATTTGTTTAAGAATAGTTTATTTGATTTAAAAAATAACTTGTTTCAAGTATAAATATTTATTTGATAATAGGAAAGAATTCAATAGTAAAGAATTATTTAATTCAGATAAATATTTTGAGTGTAGTGATAATTATAATAGTAATAGGCAAAAATTCTCTTGGATGAATCTCTTCTTCAATAATATTAGTCATATTACTCTTGAAATCTAATTTTACTTAAATATTTAAAAATTAATTAAATTTTAAAAGAGTTGCGTTTACAATTTTCATAAGTAGATGTTTTAGTTAAAAAGACTAAAACAAATTGAACTCGAAATTGACTCAGATGTCGAATTTTCGATATTCGAACTAGGCGAAAAAATTCGAACAGTTCGGTTCGAATTATTTTCCACAGCTCTAATCGAAATTTCGTAAAATTAAATTGTAAAAAAAAGAATTTGAAAATTCTCAAAGAACTTTTTCAACAATAATATTTTTAAAAAATTGATTTAAAGAAGAATTTTGAAAATCTTAATTTCTATGAAAAAATAATAATTATTAAATATTTATTTAAAAATTAAGTTCTTTAGAGTCAGGGAAAAAGTCAAAGTTTTGTCTGGAAATCAGGGAATTATTTAATTTGGTAAAATATAAATGTATTTTAAAAACCTTAAAAAATTTTCCGTCTTTAACCTGGAAAACCTGGACAAGTCAGGGAATTTGAAAAGAGCAAAAGCATGACAACCCTGTAATTAATAAATTATATGTTATTTTTAAATTATTATTAGTTACTTTTAGCTAAATGTTTAGTAGAAATATTTTTGTTTATGCCAACAACTACTTTTTTCCCTATCTTTTTTGTAATTTTCACTATTCTCTAAAATTGAATTAGTAAAAATGTTTACTAATTTGAATTAGTAACTGACTTTTTGCTTTAGAATTAGTAAATTTTACTAATAAATTTGTAGAAATTACTATTTAATAGTAATTTTTACTATTTCAAAAGCAAAAAGTCAGTCACTAATTCAAATTAGTAAACATTTTTACTGATTCAAATTGAAAGTTTTTTTTATTAGTATAAATTATGAGAGTAAAAATTATTTTCTTTTTTATTTTTGAATTAATGTAATAAATATGTTTAGGAATATAATCTTCATTTATAGTTACGAAATACCTAATTGGAATGTCTTGTAGTTCATCTTAGTTACAAGGGTTTGATCTTCCCCGTTAAACACATGAAAGCATACCAATCCCTAATGCCCCACAACCAATATACTAATTTTCCTAATTACCAACTATCTCAAAAATTTAGTGTACCATTTCCCGAAATACATTCCCTCTAATGAGCTCATACTCCTTCCTCTGATTATAAATTAATCAGAAAGAAAAGAAATTAAAAAACCAAAAAAAATTTTCTAATTAAGGCAGACAGTTTTTTCTGAATTATTTCTATGTCTTCAATATTACACTGAAAAATATTTAGTCGAAAAACTCAACTGCCATTCTGGATTCAAGAATTACATAAGCAGTGTATGTTTTTAAAGTTTAATTTTTAAAAGTAATGAAAATAATTTTTAATCTCAAATGAGATTGAATATTAATTGTAAATGGAAAATCGTTATTGTTAAAGTCCACTCAAAATGGAAGGACGAAGGATGGACCGAGGACAATGAGGAGGAAATGGTCTGACTAAATGCTGCCTTTACTACTTCACTGAAAAACTTCAGGATCTTATAGAAATGCTGCCATAGATCTTCAACACTTTCAATAAGGTATTTATCAGTTTTTTCGAATTCTAATATAATATTCAATATAGTGCCAACTTTGACTAAAATTGATTGATTAGATCCAAAAGAATGTCAATTATAATTGGACAATCGTTAACTCGGAGTTAACCCGGGGCAAGTGCCGAAAACAGCCTTTGTCGACAATAAGCTTTGTGCTTTGATAACATCTTAGATAAATATACAAGATGCGGCGAGGCGTTAGTTTAGGCACATGGATCCAGGGCGGCGTCTAATAAGTTTTTTTTTCTGACCCCGATAAATTTGGTCTTTATTTTTAAGAATAAGAAATTTCAAAGGAATGAAATGTTAATTAATATTTTTTAAATATAAAGTATAAAATGGAGAAATTGTTTAATGATTTTCGTATTTAAAATAAGTTGATTACGCACTCTCTCAATTTTAAACTTATATATTTTAAAAAAGACAATAAACATTTTAAT